TTAGAGGAACTTTATGTTGGCAGCACAATTCCAAGAATGTAATTAATGCCACCAAATTGTAGGCTGGAAACGTTAAAGTCCTGTGTGTGTTGCTGTGTATATTCTCAATAACAATAACTTCTTTTTTTTTTAACATTGATCCCATGTTGAAATGGTAAAATTTTGGATATGCTGTGATCCATAACATGTATTGTTAAAACGAATCTCCCGTTTCTTTTTATTAATGAATTAACGCACTGCCATCAAGACCAGCCCATTCACAGTGTCCCTGCGGGACAGAGCAGAACTGTCCCCTAGGTTTTCCGAGATGAATCTTTATAGACTTTGGAGACTCAGATTGGTTCATCTTTCTCCCTCAGAGCATCTGGTGGGTTCCAACTGCCAGTCGTTGGGTTAGTACACAAATTCTTCAACTGCTGTACCACCAAACCACCTTATAGTTCTACTGGACAGGATGGTCCTTGAAGATCGGGTTCCTGAAAATGAAGACCTCCTGTGGCTTGGTCAAGGCTGCCTCCTCAGGGCCAGAGCAGTACCTGTCACATGGTAGACACTCAGTCAATACGTGTTGGCTGAACGGGTGAACTGCCCGTGCTGTTTACTTCCTTTCCCAAGTGCCCGCGCAGGCCTTGCTCTCACTCAGCTCTCTCTCAGTGCCTTCCCTGTCTTCCTGTCTCCTGCCTGTGATTTTATCACCCCTGTTACTTCCAGGGTCCTCGTCCACGGTGGCCATCAAAGACGGAGCACTACGGCAGAGCATGACAGCCTGAAACCTGAGGCTGAGGGGTCTGGGTAAACCTGAGTGCACACTTGGCTAGCATCATATTTGCTTTCTAGGAAAAAGGTCAAAGACACATTAAGATAATGTTCATGAAAATATGAAAAACCTATGCAGGGAAAAAACCAGAGAATCTGTTTCTCTCCCCCAGCATGATCTTCCTTTGCTCCCCACCTGTAAACCATCTTGAACTAAAGGGGGCTGGGGCTGGTCCAGTAGTTAAAGCACTTGGCTGCTGATCAAAACATCAGTGGTTCGAACCCACCAGTTTACTCCTTGGGAAGAAAATAAGCAACCTGCTGTCTTTTTTTTTTATTTTTAAAAGTTTTATTTAATAGTGACTTTAAGGAAAATTTACAGAAAGATTGGGGTTTCATTCATTCATTGTTGCACATTTTCCTTGGTTCCTCCTGACAACATGCTCAAAGTATTAAAAGGAAGCACTTCCACTAGAGATTTGTTTATTCTTTTTTTTAAATTTTTAAAAGTTTT